TTTTTTTCAAAAATACCGCGCAGGGTCCGAAATTCAAAACCGGAAAAAGTGCCAGAAGCAAAGTTGCTTATTTTTCAGTAAAAAATGATATGAGATTGGTTCGGAGCAAGTTCCTATCGAAATTACCAATCGCACCACCCTAATATATATTTGGATTTTAATCGGCAGATTAGATAATATAAAAGTCCTCATTCTTGGACTTATATTTAAAATTATATTTTGATTGTATACCCATCAAGGTTTGGCAAAAAAATGTTTTTATAAAAAAAAAAAAAAATTATGTTATTTATCATTCAAATTAGTTGCTGACAACTTCTTGTTAACCCAGTCAGGTGACAAAGCTGTCGAATCATTCGGTAGTTCCGTAATTTTGGCGAAAAATATCGTTACTTAAGTTATTTAAAGAAAATTTTAATTGACAACCTTGACAAGGTCAGTAGATAGAGTTGGTTAGGATTTACATATGTGTTGATTGAAGCCAAGAAAGATACATTTATTGATTTTGTTTTGACTTTGTGATTTTTGTTTTTTGAAGACGGAAATAAAACCTGAAGTGTTTTATGAACGAAATGAATTTAAAGGTTTTGAATGAATATTACGTTACAATGTTTGACGGTGAAGGGTTTTCATGTGGTGTTTTACACTACCTTGCACTGCAAATCGTGCATCGCATAGTTTGCATGGAAATGGTTTTTCACCCGTATGATGGCTTCGCATGTGAAGCTTTAAGTGACGTGAATCTGTCTTTAAATCTTTACACACGTAGCACTGATTCAGGCGACGATTACAACGTTCTTCGTGTGCTTTCTTATCGCCTTCTTGTACAAATGGTCGATAGCACTTCTTGACAGTTGCTTGACGTGAGTTCGCAAATGAATGTTGAGATTATATTTGATTGCAAATGCTCTGGAACACACATGGCATTCGAATGGCTTAACGCCACTATGGATTCGCATGTGTTGCTTTAGATTTGACATGTCCCGAATGGCTGTTCCACATAGGTAGCATGCGTACTGGTGAACTTTGCATCCATTTTCATGGTTGATCTTTACAGCTTCTTCTGTAAATCCTCTACGACACTTTGAACAATTGAACGGAAATTTTAGACTATGGATTTTCTTGTGCTTTTTCAAATTGCTTTTGTCTGCAAAAGCCAAGGCACATATTTCGCATTCAAAAGGCTTCTCGCCAGTGTGGGTTCGAATATGTATTGTGAGATGTGATTTGTGTGATGAAGCATAATCACACAAATGACATTTGTGTTTCTTCTGTCCACTTGCCACTAGTTTTTTCGATATTTTCCCGTTGCGATCTCTTTTTGTGCCTTTGTTCTTCTTGCCATCGCCTTTTCGTTTACGATTTGCTCCCTTGCTGTTCAACTTTGGTCTTGGTCCGCTTGAGTCTTTACCAACTAATTCATCTCTATCTTCTTCTATTTCGTCTTTTTCCGTCAAGCATTCGTCTTCGCATTTGATTTCCTTCTTCACAGGTTCGACTTCGCTGTCACTTTCGCTCTCTGATTTGATTGAGGCGTTAGCTTCGACTGGTGACGGTGGTAGTGGATAATGAAGCATTTCGATGCCATCCGTGGGTTCTTCTTTGACCACAACTTCTTGCTTCACAGTAACCTTTCTGGCTGATCGTTTGCATTTACATTTGCGTTTCATCTTTCCACAGCAAGTTCCTTCGCTCTGATATGGATTCATTGTGTCTAACCAAGACAAATCAGAAAGACAGAGAAAAAAATCAGTTACTAGCGATGTGTGTGCTACACAACTAATACACAAGCATCAAAAATGTCAAAGTGTTGCGAAACAAAGGTTATGAGATGACGTCATCGAATTTCTGAGAAATATGGACCACACTGCATGATTAATCAAGTTTGATTTTCAAATTCAACCACAAATGTAGGATAGGAAAATCACCAAAACTTGATGAATTTCCTGAAAAAAAAAGAACTATTATCCAATTTTTATTGCACAAAATCTGCAGCAAACTCATTTTATATCAAAACTTTCCACAAATAAAATAAAATCATAGCGCATGATTTCTCCACTAAATTCAAGATAGATTTTCAACAAATTTGATTATCTGAATGAATTAAATAGCCAATATTTCGAAAGCTCACCTTTTAATTTGGTTTGTGCACAAATAAAATTCTAATACTGTTCAAAACGTGTATCTTCCACCAATGGCCGTCTGCTTGTGAGCGTCTCTCACTGTGTGTAATAGTGAATCAGCGTAATCCACGGACTCGGTGAAAAATGGCGCGTAGAGCTGCAATTGTGTTGGTGATTCAAAGAACCACGATGAAGTTGATCACATTCAGTTGGCGTGTTGACAGTCATACAAATTGAAAACACGGTTGGTTCAAGAATAACAATTGATCCTTTCTTCTCATTTTATCTATTTATTCAGACGTTGGCATAAAAATTCGAATTCCAATGAATTATCAAAAAGAGTAATGACCCATTAATAATAAAGAATTAAATAATGATTGCTTTTCGGTGATTTATTTTCGCTTTTTTTCTTCAATTTAATCGAGAGAACATTGAATGCAAAAAACTGGACTGATTTTTTGAATTCACTGTTTTTATTTCATTTTTTGATTTAATTGATTTGAATAACTATAGACAGAAAAGCGAAGCACGTAAAACAGACAGAATGAGCTAAAATTCAGATCCAAATGCTGTCCTCAAATGTATGCTTCTTTTGAATTCATAAGATTAACTTTGCTGCAATGTTTTCGAAAAATCTGTTTTTATTAAACAAATATTTACCTCCCCCTAGTGATTTCAAACAGCGAATAAAAGATTCTTTATATCATCACCAACAAATGCAAAGAAAAACTCCGAATTTTTTACAATTCTTATCAAATTTCATTGCACTTGATTTATTTTCCAAATTATGTGAATTGATAATAATTTAAAAATAAATTTTTACTAAAATCTTTTTACTATCTCTGTCGTTTCTACTGAAGTGAATCCATAATTTGTTCATAACTTTTTCCTTTGGTTTCCGGCATATTAAAGTGAAGATAAAGTTCCGAACATAAGCAAACAGCGGCAAATAGAAACATCGTTCCATGAAATCCGAGCACATCGCTTAAAAGTGGCAAGCATTTAACTATGATGAATGTAAAACAGCACATAAGTGCCGTACAAAATGTAACACCAAAATCTTTCACATTTTCCGGCATTATTTCAGCAATAATCAAGAATGGCAGAGAGGCAATTCCCCATGACGCAATGAAAATAACGAATGAGAATGCCACAATTGGAATCCAATTAACTGATTCAACATGATATTGCCATGATTTTAGCATCATGTATACTCCCAATACGACCAATCCCACCGCCATCCCGACCGCCGACACGGCAAATAAGAACTAAAAACGAAAAAAAATGCATTCAGAACAATGATTTGTGCGAAAAACAAATGTTTACCTTTCTTCCTGCGCGGTCGACGAATAAAGATGCCATGTATGAACCGACAATTTGAACAGTCGCAACGATGATTGCCGATATGTTAGGCGGCAGAGTTGAATCGGCTTCTTTGAAAATAAGTCCGGTGTAATTTGTCATTGCGAAGAAACCACTGAATTGATTCAATATAACAAGAACAATTCCGATTGTAATTGCTTTACGCGCTGGATTCTCTGACAAATCTGACAAAATGAATGAGTTGCCATGGTTTTGGTCAGATTTGGTGTCGCCGACTGAATTTTTCAATTTAGCCATTTCCAACTGAAGCAACTCTGACTCCTCATAATTCTCACGAATGCCGCGATAAAAACGAATCGAATCTTCGGCCGCCTGCAAAGAAACATACATTTGATCAATCACAATAGGCACTAATGATCATTAATGATTTGTTGTTCGCGTCTCTCCGGCGGCTACCAGAGCTGAACATAGAACGCAACATACGTACGACTACATTGCGCAGTCGCAAGCAGCTCTCCGTCGCTTTTGTGTTCTACGCTCGATTTGCGTGCAATTATGCCGCTTGCTACTCACCAATAAATTGCCTTGTTTCGCAAGAAATGTGGGTGACTCAGGGAAAAAATAGAACAAAACAATGTAAACAATCATTAAAACAATTGCAACTTTTGGAGACGTATAAAAGTCACAGTAGTTTCCAATAACGAAAGCCAATAAAATGCCAAAATTGGCACTTAAAATAAATGTTGAGCCGAGAAAACCGCGAACTCTGTGAAACGAAATGAGGTTATAAATCATCGAGTCATCATCATAAATCTATAATTAAAATGTGTATTCTACCGATCGCTTGCGATTTCGGAGAGAAATAATGGCACAATTACAAAAACTCCACCGCCAACGACTCCGATCAGTGTTCTAGCTGCGTGCAAATAGTAAATATTTTGTGCAAACCAAATCAGCAACCAACTTATCTGTCGAATCAAAGAAAATCGATAAATTCGTGTTAAATGTGTTCGCACAATGGCTCAGATGCTTACGATGGTCGGAATGGAGAGTAGAAGCAGTGGCATTTTGCGTCCGAATTTATTGATTATAAAACCAAAAAATAGATTGCCAAACAATGCACCAACACCAAGTAGCGATGCAATCCATGATGCACTTTCTAATGTTATTTTACCGGATGGCAATGGTGATTCGTCCGATATTAAAAGTAAGATGTTTGGTGATGGCCAACCGAGGGTAATTCCATAGCTTACTGTCAACAAATTCACTGAACAAAACGGAATAACCCACATGGTTAATAATGAAATTTAACAAATTCAATTGATTCACTGAAAATTACCCACAAATGCAGCAAAATACTGAAATTTCACACTCGCTTCTTGCATATTCGCTACTTTTTATCTACAATCTGAAGATTGTTCTTTTCCACAGACACTACGTCAAACCGGTTGTTTGCTATTCAACGGTGAAGAGAACAAATATCAAATGGTGAAGAGAACAAATGATGTATGTTCGGTGTGCGATCTTTTGCGCGACTATTTTTGTTGAAAGAAGAATACAATAAGGTATGCTGGTCAATCGTGTTTTACAGTCGTACTTTTCGATGCTGTATCAAACAGGTTTACTTCGTTTGCGGATTTATAATTATAAACAATTGCGATTTATGTAACCAAATTGTGATGTTTGTATTGGCAGAACATAAATTATAATTGTAACTAAAATGTGAAAAGGCTCATGTAGACTAAACGAAAATATGGCATTTTACTCATTGAACACAATAACAATTCCACGATTCAGAAACAATATAAACAGCAATTCTATGATATTAATTCACAATCGTGCATTTTTTAAAAAGCAAAATCTGATCGCATATGAAATGAAGTTATGTAAATATTTATGGAAAAATATTCACTCATCAATATTCACAAGATGCTAGCACGATAGTACATACATGCAAGCGCGTCCGCGTACAGCGGCGTTGAACATACATTCGAAGAATTTTTTGAAGATTACTACTAGATCCATTTATTGGAGACTCATTCACACCTGTATGCACTCAATAAAATAGCTCGTCTACTTTTTACACAGCTGATTTTTTTTGATTGAGGTGATGATATCATGTTGTTGGCTTGGTTTGCATTTTGAACTTATTTTATGTGGAAATTGAAGTGCAGCAAAAGCGCACGTTATTTTCAATTGAAACGTTTAAATTTATGGGCTGTAAATACGACAATGAATGTGTCTATAAAATAAACATTCATAGCAATTAAGCCTCATTATGAGTGCAGTGCCGGTATTCTGAAGAGCATTTGAATTGATTTTTGAAATGAAATTCTTTTAAGCAAAACAATTTACCTTTTTAAACCTATACCTTAACGGTCAGAAGTTAGAAGACAATCGTTAAGTCAATATAAAATCCGAAAAGAACCAATTTCGATAAATTTCATTACATTTCCATTATCCATCTGAATCCGTTCAATTACCGTGTTCTATTTGATAAGTGTACAATGTACATGCGGGCATACAATTGCATTTATCACGAAACATTTCGCCCTTTTTGGTAGTAAAAAGTTGCCTTTGAGCTAATTTTGGACAATTTGTTAATAATCCACTACATATATGCGTGCTTTTATCCCCTGCAAAGTCAAACAATTCTTCATATCAATTTCTTACTGAATGTCAGATAAATTCGAAATCGAATTGTTACATCAATTTTCTCCCTTGTGGTCTTCGCTACTGGGCAAAAAGTGATCGTTGGAAATGGAATTGACGAAATGTCTGCTGTTCCATCGATATTCAACTTAAATGGATCCTCATTCCACTCCGTCCACTGATACCAATGATCCAGCAAAATCTGTGTTGGATTTAACGACATTTCTGATTAATATCTAACAATAATGAAATTTAATAATCAAATCAAAGAGGGAATCTCACATATTACTCCAGTGCATCCGTTGTGTAAAGTATTTCAAGCCGTGAATGTTTGAATTTTGCCAAAATTCCTTGAAAAATATCTTCAACACGCAAACAAACTGATGAATGCTTTCAACTGATCACAAAAAATATCGAATTTAAAAATATTGATTTTCATTGGCACCAATTTTCTAACTTACGGGATTCAAATGCTGAATTCTCGTTTTAAGTCCATTCAGTTGATTCAATAGACAATTCCTTGAAAATGAAAAAAGTACACAAATTTTCACTCTAACTCCATTTAGTTGGTCCCTTATACATATCGCCATAAATACACAAAGTTGATGAATCACTTTCGACCACGTTTTATAGTGGAAAATAAACAGAAATTTGTTAATTCCATTCATTTTTTTTACTTTTCCGCACACACCTAGTGTGTAAGGGGATAGTATTTTCAAATTAAATCCAATAAATTGAGTGACTCACAGGATTAATGTTTTATATCTTCGCTCTGAACCAATTAAGTCGTTTCATTTCAATATAATATGTTTATATTAAAAATATTTTCTAAATATGAGTTGTAACAATTGGTCAAACTGAAGTGGACTAACTAATCTATGGCAATTCAACTAATAAATATGGAACTGTATTTGGATTTTTACACAGCAATGAAACGACAATAACAATAACACATATTTTTACAGTCAAAATTTTGATGTCAAATGGTGTCGACATTGGTGACGGTATTTCGAAACAGACTGTGTAATCCATATTCATCGTATATGATCCTATGTAAAGTTCTATACTTGATCTAGTTCACATCGACGGTTCAAATCGTTTATGTCCACTAGCGAGGACATGGAGTGTGTGTTTTTTCTGTTACATGTACGTTGTAATGGACAAGTATATTATTATTATTATTATTCTTTATTTTAGCAACTTTGCTACTTATATTGGTACATTTTTATCCATACTTTTACTTTTATATTGAAACTCTTTTGATTTTCTTGTCTTAATTCTATAGGGATTATACATTTTAAATCCCTTATGAATAAGTGATGTCTGTGCAATTTCTTTCTTATAATTATTAATTTTTAAATCATTTTTATTTCTTAAATTGTATTTGTGTGTCTCAGTATTTCTGTTTATTAATTGGTTCAGGTAATTGGGTGTTGTGCCCAAGCAGATTTGATGCACAAGTGACAACGTTCTTGTCGTTATTAATTGTCTCACACTCATCCAGTTTAGTGTTTCTAACATTAATTTTATACTTGTTCTTTTTGGTACTTTCATGACAGCTCTCATTGCTCTATTTTGTATCTTTTGCAACCTATATAATTGGCCTTCATTAATCATCAATAAAATTGATGGACAATATTCAAAATGAGGTGCTATTATTGTTTTATAGATACATATTCTTTCTTCGGTATTCAATTTGTTTTTTATTCTGTTTAGTAGTCCTACCTTTGATATTGATTTCTTATATATATAGTCAATGTGTTTAATAAAATTCAATTCTTCGTCGACAATTAATCCTAAATACTTTCTCTCCTACACATTCAATTTTTCATTTTCAATTTTCAGATTTATTTCGTTTTTATTTACATTTCTTTTTCTACTACTTATGATCATGCATTTAGTTTTTTTTGTATTCAATTTCAGTTTGTTCGCTTTAAAATATTCATTCAATCTTATTAGTACATTATTCATTTTGTCATTCATTGTTACTATATTATCACCATCAATATGTATTTCTGTATCGTCCGCGAATAAATTAATCTTTACATTTTGGTCATTTTTAATTACGTTACAAATATCATTAATGTATATCGAAAACAAAATACTTGCTAATATCGATCCCTGTGTTACTCCAATATTGTTTAATTCTTTTGATGAATAGTGATTTTCAATTTTCGTTACTTGACTTCTTTCTTTTAAATATAGCTTTCAAACCATTTCTTTTCTTTCCCATTTATACCTATATTTTGCATTTTTTCAATCATTTTTTCTCTATCAATAGTTTCAAATGCTCTCTTTAAGTCTAGAAATATGCATAATATTATTTTTCCATTTTCTAGGCTGCTTTTCCATTCATTTATAACTTTGTTCAATGATGTCTCACACGAGTGGTTTTTCCTAAAACCCGATTGTTCCGGTGCTAGGATATTGTTACTATTGAGGTATTCATCTAGTTGTTGTTTTGCTAACATTTCGATTACTTTCTCACATGTTGGTAGTTGGTTTATTGGTCTGAAAACTCCCTGAATGAATGACTGGTTTATTATAGAACAAAACTCTTGAGCAAATATATGAAGCCCATCTATCATTATACTTGGTTTTAGCCAATCAACATCACTTTTACTCTTTATGTTTTCAAGTGCTTTTTTAATGTCTGTTATATAGTATAGTAACATGGCGTCGTTCAAATAAATTTAAAAATCCGTCCACTCGTGTCGACACCATCTAGCACGGTAGTAGGGATTTGCTGTGGATTTTTACGATCGAAATAGTAATCAAATGGAAAAAATATCTACTTTCATGAAAAAAGCTATATTAAATATCGATTTCTCTTATAAACTTCATCAGAAAACAATAATCATTAAAAGCAATAATAAATATATGTTTCGATATCGTTGCATCTACCCAATACCCAATTAAGTGATTTATTTCACATTTTTTGGTATCTTGAATAAAAAATGTATCTGTCAATGTTTTTTCGTTTGTGGAAAGTGGTTCCGAATTCAGATATTGATTGGCCGATTTACACGCCAACTTTCTCTATTGATTGTTAAAATTGTCAACCAAAATTTGTTTCAAGATCTGTAATGGCTTGACGTTTTTTTCCACTAATCTTTATTGTTGTTAGTAACTTGTTACATTACGCCAAAACTCACAATGAGTCAATTAAATTAAACTGTCATATA